TAGTCCCGTTGTTACTTTTTATGAGGAGTATTCTCCAAACCATTTTCCACAAAACGCGGGTTTTCTTAGGTTTCACTGCCCGTAACTTCTTGGAAGACCAATTTCATGTTTAATTTAGGATGTGCTAGAAAGCTTCGAGCATGCGCTTGCACTACATCCCTTGCCTTGGTGCGCGCCACGCCTCGGGCGCCCTTCTAATTCGCTGATTCATTTGAAAGCTCATTTAGAGGGAAGCGTGGTTTATAGATGCTCTAGTATCAGTCATCTTGCGCAAACGTAACGTGCTGGCTATTATCCATGTTTTCACAGGCAATAGTTTCATATGTGGTTTCGTGGCTTTATCCATGTCATGGTGCGAGCACTTTTTTCAGACGATGCTGCATGTCTTCCTCTTCATGACTGCGGGGAGAAGGCTTTGCATAATTGCACTAATATACACTACATAATATACACTTTCTGTGCTGCGTTTGCTCTTCCCCTTCGTACCACTATCCATGATCAGTAGGATATCACCAAGAATCCCACTGCCGGCCACCGAGAGAGTACGACCCCCCCCTCCAAGCTCAACTGAGTACGACCCCCCCGTTGTTACTCGTAACAACGTAGGGTTGACCCTGGGTCGAGGGGTCCTTGTTCCTACATAGAACGCTGCCCTTTTCCAAATGCTACGATATTTGTCGCAAAAGAAATGTGTGTGGAAGGTCGTGAACTTTTCTAGGTCGCTGTCACGCTTTGCGAATCAAGCAAAAAGTGGGCACGAGCGATGCGCCAACGGTCGAGCGGTGCACGAGCGGTTGGACGATGTACCAGTGACTCGCCGGTGCGAGAAAATGGCGAGAGTCTCTCATCCTCTCTCATTTAGACAATTGTCACTTGAGAAAGCATGAGAACATGAGGAAATTGGAAGGGTGAAAGTGCGCATGAGGACTTCACTTTTTCTCACTCTGTCCAATAGCTGGTACATAATGCGAACCATTGGCGCATTCGTACCCCGCGATTCGCTGGATTCGCAAAGTTTAACAGCGGTTTACGCTTTGTGTTATTTGTCCCCCGTTGGTGAAGTAGACATGCGCTTATTTTGCAGCTTCTTCCTTAGTTTCAACGAGGATCAACTAATCCGAGCACACAGTGTCTTCTCATTGTTCTCACACAACCAAATCAGCAACCAAATTGAGCCTTACTAAACGAGTTTTCAGTCTTTTTCTCCGCTTTCTTTATGCTGTCCTACTGAGTACCGCATTCGTATCTAAGTGTCGTAATGGTAGCACATACCGATTTCAAAATTCCCACGACCTTTCCGAGAATTCATCCGCTCGGCCTCCGTTGACTGTTGATAATAAAGTCAATGTCATTGAATTCGTTCCACGTCGCACATCCAACTCTGCTGAAGGGTAAAGGGGAGCGCGTGAAGGGAGTAAATTCGAAATGGCAAAACAAACAGAACAACAAAAGCAGGCTGTTTGGCAGAGCTTAGCGTGAAGAGGGCAGCACCGAAAAAAGTGGCATCAATGCGCAAACGAGCTGCAATACAGGGGTCTCAACTCTCGGGTTCTGGGCCGTTTCTCATGTTTTTTCTTCATTCCTGCAACCGCTGATCACCCCTGCCTTGATTTCTCATGGTTACATGTTCATCGGAAACTTCGCCTTCGAAATGATCTACGGAAGACAGCGCTGAACACGAAAAGCACTGTCTGTCAGATAATGAATAATTTATTTAAAACTAAAAAATAATGAATTCACTGAGTGATGTTCGAATGAATGTCAACAGAAATTTGGAATGGTGCAATTCATAGCATGTGTTCACTGTAGCCGCTGTTCGAATCGTCTTCCACAAAAATGGGTCGCTCAAGAAATTGAGCGCTTTCCATGAAAGCATGCGCCACAGTCGCCTCGTCATCTCGTTGCTCACCACTCTCATCTTCTTCTTCAATGACGCCAACACTTTGCGGCATTGCGAATCGAACGCGATATATCGCATCCTCTTTCAGGACGGCTTGTAAGCTTTGCCTGAAAACCGATAGGATTAAATGGTAATTATATTTATGCAATCAAAGGTAGTGATCACAAAAGCCGAAGAGTGGTGTGGTTCTGACGCGCTCATTGAATGCCATTAGAGGAAAGACTTCAAGAGGCGGTTCTTACCACCAGGGTGAACATCCGTCGAGGAATATCTCTGGAGGGGGTCGTATTTGTTGGGCTGGTCATGGGGGTCGTACTCGTGGGGTCAGTAACGTCAGTGGCATCGTGGTGCAGATAGGTAAGAGGGTGTAGCGCAGCAGAAAACAAGGATATGTGAGGAAACATGATATAAAATATTCTTTGCAGGTTCAGTCGCTCCGTTCCTCTACCTTCGAGAAGGAAGTATTTGAAAGTAGTACAAAGAATGAAAGTGCATCTTTGCAAGGAACAGGTCGCATGTGCACACGCGCTGCGAGGGCATTTTCTCAATCTACCTCCATACCACCAGCACGTCAAGAGGATTAGTAGCCAATAAGGCCCGATGACACCATCGCAACCTCATCGCCCTCCATTCATTGTGATCATAACCTCTATTTGCCTTTTGCCTTTATTTTAAAGTCTATTCTACTTAAAGGCTCCTTTCTTTGAAAAAGAAGAAGAAGTGATGCAAAAATAAAATGCGATTCACCCTTGAAAAGGATAAGGCATTTGATGACATCAATCCCTTTTAGTAATCGCTTGCTTCCGTACAGAACAGCAACAATACTTGACTATAAAGTGCCATGTGTCGCCTCCCAGAGCTCCTACTAATTTCGCCAGGAAGCATTGCTTCCTGTGAGCTTGGAGTAGGAGCTAGACATTGACCAATTATTGCGACTTTCAGGCATAATGGAGATTTTTTCTTCAATGTCTAAAATGCCTTCAGAGGAAGTGGTCACAATCTCCCTAAGCGGACAATAGGAAAGTTACGTGGTGATTTTGGTAGAAGACCTACCCAGTGAGCCCACAATTTACACTTCAGAGGCAATGGTGCCCTACCAGTGACGTGATAAGGCGCCGAAACCCACTTCCTAGTAGCAAAAACACCTCTATCGATGTGGAAGGGGTTGCGATGGCAGCGTGCTAGATATGATACCGTTATCGTTATCGTCCCGTTTTCATTCTGGAGTGCACCTCATTCCAAGCAGCCGTACCTTCTTATCTTATGGTATCGTAAGGCACGCTCGTCTAAACACTATCTATTTCGAGTATGATCAATTGATGACGCGCAGGTAGCAATTCCACCTCGATGCCAGCAGGATCGTCTCTTCAATAGGTACACGATACGGTACCAAATGAAGATGCGGCTGCTAGGAATGAGGGGCACTCCAGAAAGCAAACCGTACGATAACGATAACGGTATCATATTAAAAATTGCAACCCGTTCCACCTTTGGTACGTGCGTTTAGCTGCTAACCAGAAGTTGGTTGATAAGCCGTCTGCCAGTGAAACACTACCCGTGGTCTCATTGAGAAGGATCTCTACCCAATCCAGTACGTCATTTTCCTTGTCGTTCCAATAGGAGTTCCTTAATAGGAGACCACTTCCTTTGAAGGCCGCCATCACGAAAAATTCAAGAAGGGTTCAGTGTGACGTGGCTCAATGGTACACCAGTGGCGAAAAAAGCAGAAAAATCCGTCAAAAAACGCAAAACGGGACCCCCTTTTTTGGCCGTTGGTTTTCACTCATGAACAGGTAACAGCTCAGAAAGTGGACGTATGAACGAGTTCACCGCAACGCGTTTGGTGGCACCATTGCCAAACCACGCTTTAATCGAGATGCTCCATTTGCGCCGCTGCTGCTCACGCGGCTCATCCAAATCATTAACCCTTTAACGACCGCATGGCCCGCCGGCGGGCCATGGCAACTAATTTCTTGTATTTCCTCCCTTTTGACATTTTTGGAAATTTTAGTTACTAAATATGTTCACAACACCCTAACAAGGCTATGTACACAGTGGTCCACGAATTGCTTTCTTCTAGGAGAAATCCAGAAACAATTGTTCTAAAAACATATTCCTAGCATTCAGTCGATAGGACCCAGTCGTTGCGGGCCTCACCAATTGTTTGGTCTTGTGAAAAAAATTGTCATTCAGATGTAATACAAATTAGTGTAATACAAATGAACACGTAAGTAAAAGTGGAGATTCTGGTAGGTGCAGCAGACGCCTTGTCAAAAACCTCACTATGCCCAAGGCTGCCAGAATTCACTTATTGGCACCACAATAATTAAAGAAAGAAGCTTGGAAGAAACATTTGTATTTAAATCTAGTCGATTTTTGAATGCAAGTTTTGCGCAAGAAAACAGATTGTTTTCGGTAGCTGCAACTTCAACAGTACTATCAAAACACTTACTAATTCTGAGGTCTTTTTCATTAGTCTTTTTCAGTACTTTGCTGATATTCCTGTCTGCGTTAGAATGTATGGTTGATTAGTACGACGATTTACTGTAGAAAGTTTGCAGTTTAGTCAATGTTGCTATAATTAAGCAAAAATGCGGTCTCCTGGGACCGTATGGCCCGCCGGCGGGCCACATGCGTGTCTGGCGTGCGGTCCCACACGCTAGACACGTTTAGAGCGCGCGGTCTCAAAGGGTTAAGCAAACTGGTGGGCGGATCGCTTTTGGGGGCGGAGTGCTTTCGAAGTCCTGCTCAGCAACCAGCGCACCTTTCGTTGTGAAAGCGCCACACCTCGCTTCCTTGGCAGCCAAGTAACTGCTTCGTGTGGTGCATATGCTTCCCCGATGCGCTCCTTCTTTATCGTAATCGCTTCCTTTAACAAAGTTGTCAAAGAAGCCACTCACGGGCGCACGTTGTAATTCCTGTTGTCAATCTCAGAGTTTTCCATCTCAAGTTTGCTGTAGGCGACTGCGCGTGTGATGTGTTTTGTAACTTTTCGTAATGTTGAGTCCTTACGCACTTTGGAACGCCTAAAAACGCCCGGTTTAACTGTGTGGACGAGTACGACACCATTTCAGACATATTAGTGTAACTCACGAGTGTACCCAGTTGGTGAGGATATGGAAAAGATGTGAGCGGAAGGTGGTGCTCATCGTGAGCATGAGCGGGAAAGGTAGCGAATAGGCGAATCCATAGAGTATCAGCTTTAATCAACATTTGGTTCTCCTTATTAATATTACCAGAGTAATAACGATACCTTCGTCGCGTCATCGATGTGGCACTGCCGCACTGCGCAAAATGTGCTCGGTTGATGAACGATCGACTGAGAAGTCATCAGCGCCAGAAGCATCGGACGCAGGTTGGCGAACAGTGGAGCGTGCTTGGCTGCGTACGGAGAGCCGATTTGCGGAAGCAGACAGCGTTCAGAAACGATGAAACATACACAGCAGAATACCGCCATCCTGAAAAAGGCATAATGGAATCTTGATTACAATTCTTACTACTTAGGTGTTCAACCTGATTGGAGACCCTTTTTTATGCTCATAATACGCACATTGAAGCACCAAGGACACGTTCAGGTGACGTGACATTCATTCAGTCCATTGTGCATTTTTGCTCTGACGCGAAAAAGAATGCACACTCCAAGGCAGAAATTGGGACAGATCCTGGGCTAGTGTCGGGGTGGGCCTAGAGGGGGAGGAAATGCTAAATGATGCGCCAGTGGCAAAAAAAGCAAGGAAATTCTTCAAGGGCCTGCACAATGAGTTCCTCTATTCTCCTGTTGATTTTTGACTGTGGACGAATCACCAATCAAAGAATCCAGTCGTTCGGAGGTGTCGACCCCGATAGGCAACATCATGCCAGCAGAGATCATATTTTGGTTAGTAACGCATCACAAAAATTCAAACGATATGTCCTTTTAATGTAAAGTGCTCCTTCCAAAGTGAAAAGTAAACGATGCTTCTGGAAGGCGGTTTTGGGACGTTACAAGTTTTGGTTTGGAGCTTCACTAGTCGCAGCTAATTCGTTTATCACGAAGGAGTCTCTCTTCGTTCCCTTCACATGCTTCCAGTGATGCATTTACTGCCAACATAGAAAAGGTGCTGATGAGATGGTGCATGGACTTAAAGGAATCTTCCGCGGAAAAAGCTCCGCCTCCATTACCACAGAAAAACGATACCCCTTAGGCCCCTAGCCTCATGAGCATAGCAAAAAGAACGGAACATAAGCGTTAGTTTCGATAATACTAATCCTACACACAAGACAAAATGATCACTCTTTCCGTGGAAGATTCCTTTAAGGTATCGTTTTCTGTGGTAATGAGGGCGGAGCTTTTTCCGTGGAAGATTCCTTTAACCCACGAGAGATATGAGTGATGAATTTACTCACATCTGTTCAAGGAATTTGATACCTGAAGGGGTTGATGATGATAAAGAATAAAAGCTAGAAAGGGTTTGCTTGCATTTTTTTGTCAATAATGGGGTTAAGTTGCAGCAGAAAAAAGCGGACCTAATTTTCTTATCAATCTATTCGAGATGCACAATTGAAGCTCGTTCCTCAAATTCGAATACGACACAGGGTATAAACAATGAGACTCGGTTAGTTACAACAATCGAACAGAAAAGCCGAACAGAAAAGTACAGTCACTCTATTGTCCAGACAACAGCTGACAACTTCCGCTACCCGCAAATTAAAGAAATTGTAATAATTGGAAGTATTATATGATAAAATGCTACCAGGTCACCTGTTATCATATTCTCTTTCCCATTTTATAGATTCCCCTTGAATCCTCGGATAAGCATTTTCAGTCTCTTAGGTATATTTGTGAGGAAGGCGGTATACCAAGTTCCAGAAGACATCAGTCAGCAGAAGCGTAGCATTCTTTACTCAAAAAGGATGGCTCAGCCAATTGTCTGCAGTGGAGCATTAGAGCCAGTTACGACTCAGAACGGCACAAACCAGCCCATCAATTCATCAACTTCATTGGCAAATGAAGAAAAATTTCAAAAATTCAAAAGAGAACTGGACACTTGTAAAAGAGAATGTGAAAGCAATACCAGTAAATTAACGACGGTGTGAATCGAATCACCTCCATTTTGATGTGATCCTGTCTGGCTGTTTCAGAAAGTCTAGCCCGTCCAATGGCATGCGGACGATTGCTGAAAATAAACGGGGATCAGTGTTCTTAATTTTCGCTGAATACTTATGAATCACAATATATCAGCAGGAACGGTTTATTCCTATCAAAATCGAACTTGGAGGAAAAGTCATATGGAGGCTTGGGTGATCCTGAGTTCTTAGCACGGGTCCGTACATGATGTCCGCACCTTTAGTTGAAGAACGGCGGTCAGTATGACCGCTCTGGTATTCCCGTTTCTGATCCTTTCCCCTGCCAAATAGTTTCCCGGGCATTACCATTGCCCGAGACACCTTTTCTTGAAGGAGTATTCCACGATAAGGTCGGAGGTCAAATAAAGAGAAACTTACCTACAAGGACAGGCGGCACCGTTATGGGTGACCAAGACGCAGTTCGCACCGAAGGATACCGACGATCTATTACGGCTCAACCTGTGGTGATGTTAGCCCACCAACTAGCCCACTACTCGCCACAGGTCTTTGCCTGTTCAGCACAAACACCGTTAGTGTTGAAGGGAGCAACTCTGGTGAGATTCGCTTCGATGCGGGAATCAACGGGCGAGGGAGGAATGTTATTCCCCTCATTGTGGGCCATTTTCTGTGATTTCTTCCTCATACCAGCACCTTTTTCCACCCCTACTTCCACCTTAATTTTCATGGGCCGCCTCTCACTCATAAACGCCGCTTTTGGATCTTCTGAGGCACTTTCAATGCGAAGAATTCCAAAGTGAACTCCATTCATTTAATTCACTCTGCGTTGATCCGTGTCTTTACTGCTTAATCGGCACACCGTGAGTGGCTATATCGCTCTCGAGGTACCGGAACACCTAGCCTCTTTCGACTCCCCATGGCCATTCATGATCCGCTCTGTACCTCTTTAGAGTTCACGGATTTGGATTTCTTGAAGCTTAGGCGGAGCCACCTTCTGCCAGCTTTTCCTGCCATTTCTACACCTTGCCCAAATTCTATTTCTGCTACCCCTATCAGGGCGATGTCGTCAGCGTAGATCTTTAGTGATCGCTGCATGAGCATCTCCAGCATGACATCCGGTGCTGGGAGAAATAGAAATAAACTGCGAGCTGATCTTTTTGCACCCCAGCCGTGGCATTTACCGCTGGGTCGGCGCTGTTCGCTATGCATCTACATCACTTGTCTAACGATGAAGACGACATTATTGCGGATCTTCCAAGCACGAACCCTAGCTGCTTCTGGGAAATCGGTACCAGCTCTCTTAGCTTCGTGTCAACCAGTTACTCGTACATGGTATGCGGTAGGGTATTTATGGTATGCGCTGACCTCGCGATAGAGAGCAGTGTTTCGCGTCAGGGTGTCCCCAAGAGGCCCGGCGAAGGAAGAGACGCAGATGCGGCAAAGGACGAGTCGCAGCGCGTGCTGTGCGATATGAGACGTAGTATGGTACACTCTATTTAACCTGACGCCTAACCGCTACAGTATGCGCTGCGACTCGTCCTTTGCCGCGTCTGCGTCTCTTCCTTCGCCGCGCGATGGGCCTCTTGGGGACACCCATCGCGTCGGGTGGCCTTGCGTTGAAAGATTTGGACCTTTGCACTTGTTCTCCATACATGCAGCATACTTTCGTCCACAATTACGGTTTTGGACAGTTGGGTGAGTCATCCTACCCCACACTCTCAAAGCGCTGTCAATGCCTCGACCTCGACCTGGGTACCTCAACCTCTATCTTCCGTACATTTCGACATGCTCATTGTCTGCAAAGAGTGGGATGGGACCAGCCGTCGCCTCTTGTATGTAGTGGGTTTTGTGAAAGAAATTTCCTCACTCCTCATTCAGTGCATGCAGCCGAGACACTATTAATGCATGCCTGATTATTCCACGATAATTCGATAATAAAAAAGATTCTAGCAACTTTTTTGAATTTTCATGAGCTGAATTTTGTTGTTTTGGAAGACTCGGTCAAAAATACTTGTCACGCATGATGGTCAAAAGAAAAATATGCTCTGAATAGTGCACATCCAGTCAAGAATCAAATCTTACGCAGAACGTTATCAGAAGTTCATTCCCTCCCCCCCGCGCAGAGCTGCGTGTATGCTTCAGAATATATTCTAACCTCACAAACGGAAGGTTTGAAGGATGCAAATGTAGCCACTGATTGTCCTTCTAGGCTGTCCGAATCACACAAAAATTTTCACTCGTTCTGGATGCATAGGGCAGACACACCATAGTTATTACTCAGGTTCAGAAATGCAACAAAAACACGACAAAAGCAATGCTCACCCAATCACGCAGAAGTCGTAATCGAGGTTGTATTCGAAGCATAGTGACACGTTCACAATTACTCCGAAAGGTAAAATCCAGCATATCTTCCGCCATGCCACCCAGGCCAGCGCGTTCCACCGTCTTGAGCGCTGAAATGTCGTGCTTGTTTGGAGAAGCTTCATCAAAAATAAAAAGTGAAAATCTGCACATGCGCTGGATCGCCCTTATAAACTTCCTTTTACAAAAGATGCTAGGAACCTAAACATTCGAAAGGTTAGGAACTCTCACTTGTTTGTGGATGATT